ATCCGTCGCAGGTTTCGCGCAAATCGCGAAAGTCAGCGAAACCTGCGACGGATCGCAGACTCTGACACCAGCCTAAGGTTCCTACTCTCAGCATTGATATTGAACCGAATGCCAGTGCCTCTGCGGCAATTTTAGCCATGTATTATGCAGAACTTAGGATGGTTAGCATCTGAGTAATGGAGAAATGGCTATCACGCTAGTCAGTATGATTTCTTTAAGTTGCGTGGTGGGCGAATGCATAAACGGCAAATCTCCCCGTTCAATCTCTGTCTACCGCAGGTGAAAGAAAGTAGTACCAGAGAACAAAGAACTAGAAGTAGTTCGTGACTTCTTTACTTCCCTCACAGGTCTGGCATCCATATTATTTTTCACCTTACAGGCTAGATAAGGCACCCAATACTGAGAAAAGGCGTGGGAGCAGGTTTGATGAGGGATACGGGATAACAACATATTCGCTATTAGCAGTGTAATCGCAATACCAACAGAATCTTCTTTCTCGTCCTTAGCTGATGATTATGCATGGTAGTTCACCATTCTGTATGATCTACTATGGTTGAAGGGACAGTACAACTTAATATAAAACTTTTTGCCACGGAGTTTGCAAATTTCAGTGATCATTTGACAAAAGGTTAAACCAATATGTAAGTTATTTCACTTTCAGCTCATTTTGCCCGAATATGCCATTCACATAATCTATACATGTCTGTTCATACTCAGCTGGCAAATGTTTGGCATACTGATGAATCTTCCCTTAGCATTCTACCACATAACCACGTAAGTGCTGCAGTTTATTTTTATTTTGTAATCGAAAGTAATCAATGTCGGCAAGAGAATTCGATGAACTACATATGTGGAGTCTTTGAAAATGCGCGCAATCTCCAAAAATTCCGTAAAAGTTCTATACTGTATGCCTTGTTTTGCTAAAAGGATTAGTGTTGTTGATAGACGGGTCGCTGGTTTGAGTTGCTTACCTTTCAACGAGACTATGATACTTCATGGTTTGACTAGTGTTGCTTTCTATTCCGCTGTTGTATGTTGTTGTTTACTTTTCACAAGCCTTTCTTCTGTCTGCGAAATTTGTTCAGTGCTCGCAAACTATTAGTAAGAGTGAATAACATATATAATTCGAATGTGGCTTAGATCTTGCAATTATTTAATTTCGAAGCTGGGACACGTAATGCAGCCATGTGGCGTGATGTCGTGCACACTTCTACACGTTTTGCCTGATCTATTTGACGCTTTTTTATGTTCCAAAGTGCTCCGCAACCTTGTAGCTCTGAGAAGTGTTTTCTTATTGGCAGTGAAGTTTCTTGAGGGCTAACAACTATTAATGCGAAAACATGAAAAACTGCTATGCCCGCTTAGCCCTCGCAACTGTGGTCGTCAGTGAGTTAAATGGGTTAACTAAATAAAAAATAAATATTAAATAAATAAATGGGTTAAAATATTATATTATAATATTAAATAGGTTAAATAAATGGGTTGAATGTCTTCAACGACAAGGCGATACGGTGTCTTTCAGGTATGATCGTCGTTCCGGTATGTCTGGTCCACAGGAATTTCATGAATCGCTATACGACGATTTTGCATAGCAGCCACTTGAGCGCTGCACTTCGTGCGAGCTGGGCTAAGCTAGCGTTCTACCTCCTATCCTTCTTCTATTACTTATACGCGTAAGTTTAAAGTGATCTCAGAAGCTCCTCGCGTCCGAGTATTAAGGGGGGGGTGGAGGGGGGGGGGGGTGACGTGGTGTGTGCTGATTCATGATTTTTATTGGTAGAATTGTATTTCAGCCTTATCTACACCCTGGTGACATCAAGCAGTTAAGCAAATGTGAAAAGATCAAGACCACTTCTCCGTTATTCTCGATCTTTGCCCAAAAGAGCGATCTGAAAAATGTGTCGTATTTCGTGATTTGTACTTAAATATTATGTGTAAATTTTTGACGAGTAGATATTTACGCATGCCGAGTCACTTTAGCCCAGTACTTGTGTGTTTTTTTTGTATTCCTCGCTGTTTTCATGAAATTGAATTCCTGCTTGTTAAATACATCTGATTTGTAATTCATTTTGTGCAGATTATAGGAACAAATTACAAAGTATGAGGTTGGTGGAGAATGCGCTTCAAACAATAACTGGTATCAAAAGAGCTTGCGTTGCTGGCCAATTTGAATAATACGCTCTAGTATGTTTTTCGTATAGTATACCTAATTTTAAAGATTAAAAAAGTTCCCGATTACCACGACGTATGACGGCAGGCTGACGCGCATGCGCGTCAGCCTTCCGTCAACGTGTTGGCACCGCGTCGGGCATGCCGACGCGCATGCGCGTTGGAACTATGTCATTAGAACTATGTCATTCTATAGATGATACATTAGCATAAACTATAACCACATGGCAGAGGTCAAATATCCCTTGATTTAGCAAAGATTTTCTGAACGCACAAAACTTTCATTTCAATTCTTTCCTAGTATTCCTTTCACTGTCGTAAACATTCATATGAAAGATTGTAGAAGCAGTTAATACAAACCTGTGAGTTTCAAGATATTTGTATTTGATGGAAGAACTTAGGTATAAATGCTTTTGACTTCATTCGCAGCAAAAGTGATGTTTTTTGCTTCTCGTGGTCATTACGCGTACTTCCAAACAAAAATCTACTATGTATAGTTATCCTTTATGCTTTCATCCTTACCGAAATAGTTCTATGAAATTCAAGTTATTGTGCATTTTTAACAAAAAATAAGCGGAAGTAAGGTGAGGACGGCGCGCTCGCAAAATCGCTCCTGTCCCACGAGGTGCAAAATGCCAAAACATGCGATGTCGTCAACGTGTTAATTCCTACTGCGGGGAAGAAAGATCTGTCATGGATTCACCCGTAGAACGAATAGAAAAATTTGAAAAATTTCCCTATTACCAGTCCAGAGGGGGTATCTGTAAAGTGTGTAGGCTAGGAAATTGGGAGCCAGGATGGGTGGAGTGATGTAAATCGTGGGCAACGTCGATCAAGGCATGTTTCCTGCTCTCCCCCACCTAGGCCAAAGTGCGCAGGGTGGTGGCGTGTGACTTTGAAGATATGCATTTGAATTATATTGTGAGACCTCGGATCGTATTAATTGGTGCTAGCCATAACCACATTGTGAGGGCTCAGAAGTCTTCGCTCTCACAAGGGATAGTAAAGTCTTTTGAGCCACACAAAGCTGATCAATTCAAAATTGAGGGATGACCTGAAGCTGGTCAAGCCGAAGTGCTTGAAACGTGAGAGACCTCAAGTCTGAATTTGTGTTCTATTGGATGGGTAGTACTATAGGACACGTTCATAAGCACCCCTCCCGGCTTCCAACTACAGTGGCGCCGCAGGAAATCTTGAAATGTTTCACGATAGTGAAACAATTCAAGATTTCGAGTTTCACGGTAGTGAATCAGATATTTGAAGAACAAAAAAAGAACTTACTCCGTTGTCGTTGTTGTTGTTGTTTTTGTGCAACTCTCTTAGTCAGGGCGCGCTCTACTGGCTACTAGTGCTCCGATCGCAAAAGTTTCAAATTTCTCAGTTTATTTCAGAATTTCAGATATTTAAATGGGACGTTGTCCTTCTTTCTTTTGATTGTAGTCATTTGATTCAACTTGTATGAGAGTGCGAGTTGTTTTTCAGTTAAGTTAATCTTTAAGAAGAGCGGTAGTATTGGACAGCGCAGTTGCAGTTGATTGAGCCATGCGACAGACGTCTTAATCAAAAGGGAAGCCAGGTGAGTTACTACTAAGTTCTCGACTCTACTTCGCAATATTTGTTTTCCTTTTTGAGAACTGAATCAGCGATTCCTAAACGAAGAGCAGGAGCTGTTCCTATACTGAAGTCGAAGATTAAACATAAAGGAAAATGATAGAATTGCAAGAATGAAGGCTGCACGGGAGGCATACAGGTATTTTGTTGACATTGTTTGACATGTTTGGTTTCACTTTTCACTCACCTTGAGGCTTCCATTGTGAGAATTGTCCAGCAGCCATTTCATCCCTTCCCAGTTTGAGTTCTTGGGTTTCACGTCGTCTGCGCGATCGCAATAATCGCAATAAGCTCGTTCCGTAATGGTGGACACGCTCTCATTGACGACAGCCTTTTTCCTTTAGAGTTGTTATCTAGCGAGCATCGTATAAGCACTGCCTACGACTGGAGAGCAGTCATCTCATCAAAATGGCCTCAGTCTCTTTCACATGAGACTTAGCCACCTTCTGCAAGGCTCAATGCTACGGGGAGAGGCTAAGAGATCTGATGTTTTTGAGGACGCCCGGATCTGTACAAAGCAGGGCTCTCCTCGGAGGGACTGACGAGTTCTTTTTGTAAACCATAAATGAATGGCCTCTCTAGAGATGTCGACTGAATACATGCCTAGCTACGGAAGGTGAGGTCATGTCAAGGTTTCAGCTTCAGCTAGATGCGAAGAGTTGTGATTTTGACGTTTTGACGATTCCCGAAGGTGATTTGTTTTTCAGCAAACTCTCTCAAGAGCGAGTAAACAAACAAACGGTGGACCCGCGCAGCAAATGGTAACTACTTCTAGCGGTAACCATGATGTCTAAGAAGGAATTCGATACACAAAGGTTTGTCCATCAACAGCGAATGCGAATACTCCAGCAGTATTCACGAACTCTGACATTTGTGTACTTTAAACTTCATTCGAAGCTTGTTCACAATCCATTCAAAAATTCTGCTCCATTACCTTCCGAGAGGGTATCTGCAACTCCTTCACCAAAATTTTATTTTCAGTAAACCTTCGACGAGAAGGTCTTCAAAACCGTTGACTGCAGCCCATCTCAAATCAGTTTTGAACTCTTCACCTTCACGTTACCGGAACGATTATCGGGCGGCAGCAACGGCGAGAATTAAGAAACATAAGAATGAACATCAAAGGTGTGTTTAATTTTTAATTCAGCTAATCACCAGAAGAGGCTCTTCAGCAGCGATTTTCTTGTTTCAACTCTTAAGAGCAGTCTCAAAATATACGAGTTCGCGATGAGGAGCGAGAGCGCTGAGCGGTCTGTTGCAGGGTGCGCCGATCCTGCCGCGACAGTCGTCACGCCTATGCGTCCTCTCTCGAAATGATTCGCAATGGTGGCATACGAAATGATACCGGTCGCGCTAGTTCTATTTATGGGGTTAGTTTATATCCAAATTCATTAGCTGACTTTTAAAGTGTTCTACATTCAACACGAACTGGTTTGAATTGTTTGCGATGATATTGTATTGCTTACAGGCTAGATCACTTGCTCCACGTCCTAGTTTACTCCCTCTCGGAATTAATATTTTCGAATCGAACGTGAGCCTCACTGATAAAATGAAGGTAAATGTTGGATCAATATCCACGAGGGTGTCATGCTCCGGGGTGTTATCTCATATTTTTAGTTAGACGATTCATTGCATCTCGTTCAAATACTGGAGCGACTCCAAAAGAAGGCTTCATCGTTATCCTTCGGCCCCGTTGTGAGTGAAAAACGTAATCTTTGTTGTTGCTCGGCATTTTTCCATATGAGATTCAATCTGTTTTGCGTAATGATTAGTAAAGCTCCTGTCTCATAGCGGGAGATGTGAAGTCTAGCCGTACTCGTTCATTTATGGGAGAAGGCACTAATATATTTGTCTGAAAAGGTTCTTTTTCCGAAGGACTGTCTTGATTGAATCAAACTTTTTTGGGTTTGTCAGGGTTGTGCAGAATTGTGGCAGGAAAATTGGCTCATATTTCATGTGAATGCTCTCTTTTCACGGTCAAGTATCTACTACGTAAGCCTAACTGAGCGTATACGTATTTTTTGGGAACTTCCACAGTTACTGCCACGGTGTATTCCTTCCGTACTGCGTTCTTGAAACGGTGTATGCCTTCCGTACTGCGTTCTTGAACGTTTGTCAAAGCCCGTTCACTGCAGTACTTGGGATGTCAGCTACAATTCCAGTTCCTTGTTTTTGTTTGTTAACTGCTGTTTTTGGCCGCAGTTCGCCTTGCGAATGTTTCACAAGAATGCTGGGTTGTGAACAAAACTTTCGCCCAGGCGGGACTAGAACCCGCACCTGGTGCGGGTTCTAGTCCCGCCTGGGGCGAAAGTTTTGTTCACAACCAGCATTCTTGTGAAGAAATTCCAGTTCCATTTTTTTCCTCAATGGCATCACCACTCATGCATCACTTAAACTTGTAACTGTTCGCACATTTCTCGGATGATTTTCAATATTCCAGCCCAGTTCCGATCTGCAGTCGGCGCGCAGTTTAAGAAGCGTGCGGTTTTGTGTTGAAGCCACTATTGAAGAGCAAAGAGAATCAGGCGGAGATGAAGTGTGTCTTTCACGTGTTTATATAGTTGGGCCACAATGCTTTTTGCAGTGTGCTGTTTTGAGCTTAGTGTTGTTGGGCTAGCCTTTCAATTATTGCATCTCAGGTTCTGCGAGAAGAGCGCGTCATTCGTGGGGATTGTGGTTTCGATGCACCCTCATCTTCTGAGAACGCTGCACCCATGTCTATCCTCAAGAGAGGAAGGTAGGTATATTTTGGGACATCTAGCCTTTGTGAGGAAGAAGGGAAGAGTTGCAAAATAGAAATCAGTGGTGTATGAACAATGCTTTTAGTTGATTTCTGTAATCAATCCTAAAAGAATGCTGAGCTTTTCTACCTTTGCATGGTTAATTCATGGGTGTAAATCTTTATGATCTTTTTTAAATGGAGATGTGGAGCATCGGAAAGTTTTCATAACACACACACAGACGCACAAGCTCGGGAGTGTTATTGAATTCTGAAGGGGTTTTGTCGCCTTATTCCGGCATCCACCGCTATCCATCTTATAGGGAAATGAACTGTGCGTTACATGCTTTTAGCTACTTTTTTCTCCAAAGTAAAACTGCGGTCATACTTTGCGATGCTTTGCGCTTTGTTGCAATTAGAGTTGGGATTAGATGCGCAACGATCATGCGATCGCCCGATCGGTACGAATCTGTCTACACTCAAACCACACGGGCGCAAAGCATAGCTGCTGCCTAACGATCTATTTCTGCAAATGTGCTCCCTGAAATAAGTTTTTCGTATTTCAGGTGCGAGACGACTCTTCCGCTGATGTAGTTTTTGCCTCCCCTCATCGAGGTGGGCCCATTGACTTTTCTCACATTTTGATATATTTCGTCTCCATTACATAATTTTTAGTCATTTCGCATTGTCCTGATAAAGCAAACACTTTCTACCCGGGACCATCTTCTCGTTCGTCCATCAGTCACGAATCTCGTGCTCAGGTTACCAGTGCTTTTACATTATTAAATGTCTAATTTCCACAAGTAGAGCCATATAGTCTTCCTTGTGAAAATTCTGACCACCATAAGTTCGGAAGCAGTGATACTGATCAAGTGGGACCCGCTCATCTGGTACATGTGGTGAATTGTGACCTTTTGTACGACAGTGCGATCTGCTGATTGTTTTGTTTTCGCAAGTCTACATTCTATAATTCTTCATTTGTTTTCCTGTGTCACTCGGAATTGCTTTTTATATCAGCTGAGCCCTTAATTTTTGAAGCCCTTTACATTTTCGTCATCAAAATTCGTAGGAAAATCTCGGTAGCTCGAAACCGACCGCTCGACTCAAAGAGCTCAACAAAGCCGGAACAAGCTGATAAGCTCGACATCGTTCATTGTTCGCTTGCAGTATTTAATAGGTCACGATCCATTTTGCAAAAGTTTAGGGCTCATTTTCACCGTCCAACATCGTCTTGTTTTCTTTCTTTGTTTTCCCATCTTTCTATCGACTGGCTTTCCAGCGTGGTTACCTGTGTGCCAACGTCCCCTCTAGCGGCAATAATCTAGCTTTAACGATTTCGGAGCTCTGATGGCTAGTATTCAACCTAGAGGTTGAATATTAGCCATCAGAGCTCCGAAATCTGGAGGCTATATGCGCCTCTTCCTAGCTCACTTTCTCAGGAAAAAACCATGGTCTCAGAATCGACATGCTTTCTTAAGTTGATGATCCATGGGATTCGAGAGAGACAATTACTGTTCCTTCTGCGTAGACAACGATTTGTGCATAATAACAATGTATTTTTTTCGATTTCATGCCAAGAAATATCCAAAAATCAGGCCAAAACAGCTCAAGTGGCTCAATAACTATGAACCTACCTTATATTCCCGGAACGTCTTTAAAGTGCGACTTTAGTTGTCGTTTCCGTCAACATCAAGCGAGTCGAGTGTGTCTGAGAAAACATCCAACATACACGCATCCGACTTTGTCCAGTCGTACACGTAAGTTTTGTCAGTACCCTTTAATACTTCGATTACAATGAATTCTATGTCAGTCAATTGTTCAATATGAGCGATGGAGAGTGGAAATCTGTCGAACCGATAATGCTTGATGAATTGATTGGACATCTAAATGAGAAGAAGAAATGGTTTGTCGTACAGTTTATATCATAGCGAATTCACCTAGAAACTACAAAATGATCACTATCTGTTGTTCAGGCTTGAAGGATCTGTAGCGTTGATGCCGGAGGATACCTCTTCATCCCTGTTGTCCTTACCTGAGGATATTCCCAAACCACCTGCAAGAGGGTTCCGCAAAGTTATTCCCAGTGTCAAGCATGTCTCCGCCGACCTTCAAGCTAACCAGGTTTCCATTCAAGTTGTTTTCTGTTATGTTTTTGCGATTCACTGCTATAGCATTCCCTTATTATTTGCCATTTTCTGAGTTAATCATCAACATGCAGGAGGTTATGCTGATAAACGAGACAGCCAAACGTAATGCTAGCCCTTCGCCAACGCGACTTCTTCGCCACTCACTACGTTTGCGTCAAAAAGATCCTGTCTCTTCAGCGCTGGGTGGAGATTCGGTGAGCCCTACTGCAGCATTTTCATACCAATCACAACAATCATTGCTATCACATTCAGCCGTTCATTCCGATACGCGGTTCGCCGATCCACTGAAGACCTATGCTCCACTAATCTCAATCTCACTTACTCATTCTGTCACTTATTGCATTGTTCTACACTGTGACCCAATTTTATACATACTTGTCTTCCCGGTGCTTTTTTCCTCCTTATCATTTCCAAAAATACTGATCTTACATTATTGAAACACTCACTTAGCCGTGTATGTTTTGTATTTTATAGTAACTTTTGTTTTTCTTCTTATACTCTCTCCAGTAGAAAGCGTTCACATCTTTGCTACAGATGCGTTGGAACGCTTCCACCTTTACCTATTATCTGTACCAATAATACTTGAATCGATTCCCATGGACTGCCTTCTTTTTTTCATATACCAATATGTTTCCCTCCTGTGTTATACTGCCGCGACGAAAATATTAAATGGAACTCTTTAGTCATTGTAGATCCTATCAAATACTTGTTTTTTTTTTCAAATATCTTCCCAAAAGTCGGCATGGTGCTTACAGCAAGTGCTATTCGAGTAGCAGGCGTGTTCCGTCTATCAGGGATTTGTTGATGAATCGGTTCACGCTAAATTGCTCGCTTGTCACATGCTGTAAACACAGTAATGCTCACGATAACGACTATGCTCTGTATATTGTTTTGCCATTGATAGTAAACCTTTATAATGATATATGATATTGTATGAATATCGGAGATGCCATGACTTCTTGTAGGAAATGTGAACATTTTTGTGATATGTTTTGAGTAACAGATTTAATCATAGCAGGAACGATAGGTTCAAAAGTTGAACGTCAATTCCGCTATCTGGCCCATGGGGCCGCTTTTCTTAGTGACAACGAACTTGCTCAGGCGGTGAGGACCCTTTCTTTTACTATGTTGACTATGACTACATAGTCTTGTTTGGCTGAGTTTACCAAGTTTTAGTTCCCCGGTTTCGTTGCGGTGCTGCAGTACAGTTCTAGTGCCTTTATGTTCTGCTCCAAACACAGAAGGTGCGTGCGATGACAATAGGCTGATTAATCGAGAGGATTTCAGAGGTGTTACCCCGAGGAATGAAAAGGTACTATCATGCATATTTTTTTGTTGTGAGCGGTGATGCTCAAGTTATTGATATTATGGAGTATCAAGCAATTCGTACGAGAGGGGTTAGGTTATGTCACATTACTGATGCCTTCAAGGGCTGTGAAGAATAGGCGGGTCTGTGGGGTCACTTTGGCGTAGGTGGGTCGAAATATACACTCTTTTGTCACTATTCAGAGGGAGAGGTCACGTTTCCCCGAAACGGTGCTGTCACGAATTCAAGAAAGTCTCAGGAAGAATTATCGAATATCCGCGAGTACTATATTTCTCGAAGTGGTGAAGCGGTTGGAGGAAGGTGACGGTGAGTTGTCGCGACTCACATTTATGGCTGCATTGAACGAACGTTACAGTTACGCTTTTCCAGAAGCATTTGTTTCAACGCTCAAACGTTCATCCGAGCGATGGCTTCCCATGCTGCTCAGAGCATGTGGAAGTGCCTTGTCCAATGTTCCAAACTCATCCCGACGGCAAATTTTAGCACGGTTATGGAAGCAGGTGGACGAAAAAGGTATGTCACATTAACCAGTTCAAGCGTGTGATGAGAAGTTGCTACAGTAGGTGCCTTCT